TTAAAGGTGGGGTAAGCGATTTCTGGTAGCCAATGTTGATATTTGAAATCACCAAAACAAACACGCCCCTACCCCAAAAGGGTTTTGCCCCTATTTTGATAGCTCCGCCCCACACATACGTATGCAACCCAGGCAACGATTAGTTCTGTGAAACAAAGCAAAAGCAATGTTACACCGTGTCTACACCAGACATGAGTGGTGCGGCGCGACAAAATACTATGGAACTCATTATAATCAGTGATGCTGTCTACACCACATATATACATATCTATGGTCTACACCAGAGCCGTTGAGAAACAGTTTCTCAACGGCTCTGGTCTACACTGGATGCGGCACGACACGACAAATCCCGGACAGAAAACTGCTGCTGCGTTCTATTTATGACGTATTGACACAAATTTCAAATGATTTTCAACAGTCGCTTTGTTGCGTCCAGTGTACTAGACAGACTTTAGCTGTTGCGCCGCAGACACGGTGTTACTCACCTATCGAGAAGAAACAAAGCAACCTCGGCGTCCGATCGCAGGCCTTCCGCTCCTTGAGTTCTCTCCAGCGCTAGAAAGCTGATCCGATATTTACACGGGTCCTACTTCTTGCCTTATTGCCTTAAGCCTTCTTTTGTTCCACAGACGTTTTCCTCTTTTGTTTTTTATCCGCCATCTCTATCTTTCTGTTGCTCGGCTCGGCTAATGTCCGTCCTGTGCACTGAACGCTCTCTCCTCCACATCATGAGTAGACACGCCCCTTACTGCTGATTGGCTACAAGTTTGTTTTGCTATTCGGCCCGAATCAGTTTTCTAAAGCATTTTTGAAAAATCGCTTACCCCACCTTTAAACATATTTTACTGAACTGTAAATGATTTTTACCTGTATTTTACTATCGTTATTATTATTATTATTTTTCTGGCTAATAACAGCAGGGACTACATATAAAATTAGCTTTTTGGCTAACTAGGGTACGTTTACATTTATGTTGATTAATGTACTATCCCTTTTGAAATAAAAACATAAAAGATGAAATACATGATATGCTAATGGGGTAAGAATAAAAAACTTAATTCAAGATATATTTTTTGAAAAGAGGTCTTTTTATTTTAAATAATGCAAAAGCACCATAAAAATATCCATGAAAATGGAAAAAAAAAGAAAACAGTATAACATAACACAAAATAGTCAATTTGTGCACTAAACATGAATTTCAGCTGAAAAACTTGTTTTCAAATAATATAGCTGTTTTTTTTTCTTGCATCAAATGTCACTATATTTGTACGAAAACATTTTTTAAAATGTAAATGAATTTTAATACATTAAATTATTTATATAAAATAATTTAATTACAATTTAATGTAACAAAATTATATAAATTATTACTTATGAAATTATTACAATTTCTAGCTTAATTCAAGATACATACTGTTCCTTAAGATTTTGAGTCTCCACTCTAAAAAATGCTGGGTTAAATATAACCCAGTGCTGGGTTAAAAAGGGACAAACCCAGCTATTGGGTTGTTTTGACCCAGCGGTTGGGTTGTTTTGAACCCAACCGCTGGGTCAAAACAATCCAACCGCTGGGTCAAAACAATCCAACCGCTGGGTCAAAACAATCCAACCGCTGGGTCAAAACAATCCAACCGCTGGGTCAAAACAATCCAACCGCTGGGTCAAAACAATCCAACCGCTGGGTCAAAACAATCCAACCGCTGGGTCAAAACAATCCAACCGCTGGGTCAAAACAATCCAACCGCTGGGTCAAAACAATCCAACCGCTGGGTCAAAACAATCCAACCGCTGGGTCAAAACAATCCAACCGCTGGGTCAAAACAATCCAACCGCTGGGTCAAAACAATCCAACCGCTGGGTCAAAACAATCCAACCGCTGGGTCAAAACAATCCAACCGCTGGGTCAAAACAACCCAATAGCTGGGTTTGTCCCTTTTTAACCCAGCGCTGGGTTATATTTAACCCAGCATTTTTTAGAGTGTCTTATGTTCACCAAGGCTGCATTATTTGATCAAAAATACAGTAAAAACTGTGAAATATTTTAAAATAACATATTATAATAATTTTAAATAACTGTTTTGTACTGTAATATATTTTCAGATGTAATTCATTCCTGTGATGCAAAGCTGAATTTTCAGTAGCCATTACTCCAGTCTTCAGTGTCACTGATAATATGCTGATTTGCTGCCCGAGAAACATTTATTATTATTATCAGGGTTTAAAACAGTTCAGCTGCTTCATATTTTTGTGGAAACCTTTTTTTTTAGGATTCTTTGATGAATAGAATGTTCAAAAGAACAGCATTTATTTGAAATAGAAATCTATTGTAACATTATACATGTGTTACTGTCACTTTCAATCAATTTAATCCATCCTTGCTGAATAAAAGCATTAATTTATTTTTGCTCCCAAGAAAATGTATCGTGTTTTAAGCATGTTTATGTTTTGAAAACGAGACAAAAATAATGATTACACAATGATTTTTCCAGTGTCAGTTTATGCTCACCTGTCTTTGTATTTGTCCCTCAATCATTGTTCTACACACGGATGACAGTGATGGATCCTCTATGTTGCTGTGCAATATGTTAGCTGAGGACTCAACAGCACAAGTCTGATAGAGTGAGAATGAGGGGACGATGTCTATGATGCTGTGAAGTAGAAAGACCAAAGAGAGCAGGAAAAAAACAGACAGAGATGGGATTGTGGAGAAGAAGAGAGTGGAAGAGGATACTGTAGAACAGAAAGCTCAGGATCAAAGCCCAGGATCAGTGTGACTTTAGAAAGTTTCTGCACAGGAGATAAAAGCCTCCAGGAGAATCTTCAGATATCCTCGTTCAGCATAGGCAACAAAGGTTCTTGTTTGCTCAGATTCTTTGTCTCGGGCTGAAACTGATCATGGATTGAACTGGATTGACCTTTTATGTAAATTGACCCATTGCTAAACCTCACTTTAAAAACATTACTGACCAATCCTACCATAGCAACCGTTGCCGTCCACAGTTTTCTTTTTGATCTTTTCTAATGTAAGTCTATGGAGGTCTGTATGTTAATTAACTTTAAAGTGTTAGTTTTAATTTTACAAATGTAGTCATTTTATGAGAATCATTTAATTTTACAAGCTTTAATAATGTTAAAATTAATTTAAAATATTTTCTTAAAAAAGGCAGATAAAAATGTGCCAAAATGTCACAATTTTAAATTTTTTTTTAGCACATTTTACAGAAAAAAAAAATGTTGCAGAAAATATCCATTTAAAAGTTTGTGGTCAGTAAGATTTTTTAATTGTTATTTTTGAAAGAAATTAATACTTTTACTCAGCAAGGTGCATTAATAATAAAAACATTTATAATGTTATAAAAATATTCTGTTCAAATAAATGCTATTTTTCCTATACATCAAAGAATCCTGAGGGGAAA